CCGTTACCTAGTAGTAGTACTAGTAACAGTAGAACGAGTACATAATAGTAATAGTAGTAGTGTTGCAATCATACTCGTGGTAGTACTACATCATAGCCGAACCATGGTGGTCCTCCTGCTCATCTTATTTGCACTTACAGTACTCGCGGAAATACCACATTTCGTTTCCGCCCGCTCACGTCTTACCGAAATAATGCGAACCAACTCCCAATTTGAAGCTACTACCACTGCCACCTCAATGCTAATTCTCCTCCTTCTATTCTCCCCCTCATCCTTGTTTGCGCTGCTACTGCTACCGCTGCTGCGACGGCTGCTATTGCCACTGCAACTGCTACGTGTAGTGTTACGGCTATGGCTAACGCAGATGGTACTCTTACAACTCCTCCGGCTGCTGCTACAACTGCCGGAGCGTTGCCGGCTGAAGGACAAGGAGGATTGCGACACACTGGCTGACGGCCACTGCCAAGTCCACCACCTCTTCACTATCTGCATCCCATTTGGTTAAAAGCCTTAAACGAATTTGGGCTGAAACTTCGTTTTTCACCCCAATGCCTTGAGAGGTAAGGTGGGCTCCACAAGATCCGAAGTTCTCGAGACGCTTTCAAAAAGCCGCCCAATCCGTATATCCCTTGCAACATTTTCTCCTCGTTAGCTTGGTTGATGCTGACCACATCGAGGAAGCAGCTCTGGGGACGAGAGTCGGGTAGGTATGGGGCCAAGAGGAAAGCCGCTATCGAACAGGCAACGCCTCCAAATAGATTCCAACTTCCGCAGGGGCAGTATTCCTCAAAATCCTGGAAAGATATGAGGCACTCGCCTGGCATGGGCAGGATCCTAAAACCTGCCAAAAAACCGATCAGAGCGACCACGAGAAACCAGCAAAAGACTGCATGTCGCCATCCAAAATCCAAGGACAGGGACAAGAACTTCCAAAAACCTCTTGTCGACCAGGCGTGAGATAAAAATACATCAAAATGTTCCACGCTCTTCGAGCGAAGCCACAATGATGCGCGAGCCTTTTCGCCAAGATCCATTGGAGACCTTCGCCACAGATTTCCGCCGTTTCGCAAAGTCTCCCTAAGAGAGATGCCGCGCATGAGGGATGTGTCCACGCGCAAAATTCCTGCTTTGAAGCTTGGCCGTGGAGGTCTTGCAGGCAAGACCTCTTCCGAGATGTCCTCTAAAGCGAAGCAGTTTGTGGCAACAGAGCCGACAGCAGTGCTTTCTGTCGTTGCTGGGGAGGCCCAAGATGCCTCTGCAGAAACAGAAACTACCTCCAGCTCTGCATTCTGTATCTGGCAGCAGCTTTCATTAACAAACGTGGCGACATTGAATGCCGCAACCATCTTTCAGCCCCTACCTCTGATTCACTCCAAGCCCAAGCTGGCTGCAATAGCATCGGGAAACTTGCAACTGCTGCTTCTTAGCCCTGAACTGAGGGCAGGATTCTGGCTAAACCTAACACTGAACATGTCTTCACTGACGCTGTTCACACCTACACCTGCCAAAGATCTATGGGGCCGTTTTCCTAAGGGGTCTCAAAGAAACCAGCATGCAGCGCAAGCGTACGGAAACCAAGATGTCAGCGGGAGTGACAGCATCCAACAAGATCATGTCATCAAACGCTTGTCGAAGCATGCAGCATGATACATGCTATTGGGAATGCCGTCCTCACAGCGCAACCTGTCTGACTACGATTATCCCCCAGACTCCTCCAGGCTTTTGGAATGTAACCGCTGTAAACTTCAGTAGCAGCTCCCACATGCTCTGAAATGTCAGATCAATGCACCGCTGTCCTACATGAGTTGGAAAAGGATGGCATGGCCTCTCCAATTCTGATCTAAAGCATGCTGTGTTGTTAGAGATGTCCTCAACCCGTTGTTCTGCCACGACCTGCCGTCACAACCTGAGGAAGGCTGAAGAAGACCAACGGATGGAACCATCAAGAATCGCTGGCATGTTGCGGAATATGGCCGGTTCGCGTGGGGCTAACAGAAAAGCTGTGAAAACCAAATGTTTGCATGGCCGTAGCAGATCTGTCATCATTATGATGATCAGCATCATCCTTATCCTCACCACCATTACCTACAGTTAAAGCCTTTGCCGTCCCTCCATGCGCTCCTACCCCAACCAGCACCCATGTTCAAACACAATGGCAAGTTCGCAGTTGTCTTTTCGGCGACCAATTAAACGCTGATGACAGCTCCACATGGGAGCGACAGCGAAGGTTTTCCTCCCAGAGCTTTCGGGGGCACATGGGAATGCTTTCAAGTCACTGAATATTCCGCTTGACCCCACGGATCCCCACATGCCCGCGGATAGAAGGTGTGCCTAAACGGCCAAAAATAACCACACAGACGACGTCGCACGGCAAGGCACCTAGTCACCAGTCATCCGTAGTCAGCAGGGTACTTCTAGATACACGCTGCCGTAGGCAAAAAAAGGCCTGCTTACACAAATGCAACAGATGCCTCCTATCATCAACAAGCAAAACACGCAAGATGGTGAGCTAAACACGACAGGGGGCACCATCAGGGCTTCGGTCTTCTCGCGCCGCCTAGTTGCATGCTGCAGACAGCACAAGAAATGAGAGCTGCCACCTCCACACTTGGCAGCGTATGGCTTCATAGAGAAATCAACAAAATGTGTGTGTGTGTGTGTGTG